CCTCCGCACGGAACACTTTTCCCTATTGTTCTATGTGATGAATACCCAATCATCTTTCAAAATTCAGCTCACAAGTCACTCCTCTGTGACGCTTCCCAACAGCCCAGTCTGTCAACAGATCAGTGCCGCTCCCACCAGGTGAGGTCAGTGACCCCCACTTCTTTGCTCCACATTTGTACCTTGAACAAACTTATTCTAGCTCCTGCTGCTCTTTATTGTCCCCCAAGTTCAAGCACCCTGAACTGTCAGGGTTTGGATCCCAGTTCTTCCATCTGAGAGCTGTCTGTTCTTTGGCAAGAAACTTGCATGTTTGGCATTCTCTGGCATCTGGCCCACCATAAACACTATAAATGGTAGCTGCTACTATTACTGTTACTGTTATGATTTGGCTGACTTCGGAGAGAGTATAATGTAGCATTTTTAGTTAAAGGAACAGTTTCTAGTGCTAGACCGCTTGGGCTCAAATCCTAGCTGTGCCACCTACTAGCTTTGTGGCCTTAGGCAAGTTGATTTATCTCTCTGTGCCTCAGTTTCCTTATTTCTGGGGATGATAATAATAGTGGCTATTTCAAAAGGTTGTTGTGAAGTTTAAATACATAAATACATACACAGTGCTCAGAATAGTGTACTTGATAATAGCAGAAGCTCAGTAAATATAAGCTGTCTTCAGGGAAGTGTCTCAAACTCTGCTGTCAGTAATTGTTGCTTAAATCAATGATTGACCAGAACCTCTCTGAAGAGGTAACTCTTCCTCCCCCTGCAGCTCGTCTGTGCTTACAACTATTGTTTGTCTCAGGAGCTTGGCCTCAGGAGAGACCCTGTGTGCATGTTTCATCCCCCTTGGGGTCTCCTTAGCACCTAGTGCAGAGCAGGCACTGGAACATTCTTACACTGGCTTTCCTGATGTGATAAGTCACTTTCAAATATAGTTTTGTGAATTTCCTTTCTCCCACTTAGTTGTCACCTACACTCTTCTCTTAAAGACCAGTTTGGGCTCTCAAAATGTGCGATTTTGATTTGAGACCAGATGACAAGCTCCCTTACCAGAAATATTCCTTTCATCCCTTCTAAACTATATCTGTTCCCTGTCGACACCGGCTAGACTCAGTTCCACAGTCTGCCTGCATCCTGTCTAAAGGGGGGACCTTTCACCCCTCAGAGGTCTCTCTGTGCAGTTGTGGTGCGTTCTTTCCTCCTCTGTCTTGCTTACTTGGTCTGGGCTCCTGCTCCAACCCCCTTGTTCACCTAGTGAACAGTTCATCCCTCCAGTGGTACCCACTCCTGTGAAATCTTTTCCATGTCTTCCCCTGTACACTTGACCATTCTTAAATACACCTGACCTGGATGCTTATCCATTGTGTGACCTTAGGCAAGTTACTTCACTTCCAAGAGCCTCAGTTTCCACCTCTGTAAAATGGGATTGTAGCACCAACCTCTAAAAGGTTCCTTCCACAGAGCATATTTGGAATTAAATTTAAACCTCTAAATAGCTCATAATTTTCTGCAAGATAAAGTCCAAGCCTCTTTGAAGGGCAAATAAGGCCCTCCAGGCATATAGTCAGCACTGAAATGCTAATACTAGTCTCCTTTTCCCCTTCTCTCTCCTGAGCAGTATCATTTTTATCACATGGTTTTGACTGCCACACATTACAATTCAACTAGCTTAATTGACAACCAAAAGATGGGACCCCCACCAGATTTGGGCTATGTGGATGGAGAGTTGAAGGGTGACTGGCTCCAGGTGGCTCAGGGGCTCCAGTGTTGTCTAGCCCCTCTATCTCCACGTTTCTCCATGCTCCCGCAGTGTAGCTTATCTTGTAGAAGAACTCTGATTGTTCTTGCTTGGGTTCTGTGCCATTGAGAGCTTGGACTGGGGAATGTAGGGAGAGCATCATGATCAAAAGGCCAATGGAATGAGGCAGGAATTCCTTAAAGGCAATGAAAGCAGGGGGACGGGAAAGCATCTGAGTACGACCAGACCTAGAGCTACTACAGTCCACTTCGTGTAGTTCCGTCTCTACAAGGAACCGTCAGATTCTTTTTGCCACCTGAGCCCTGTCCTTTCTCCTAAACTTACAGTACTGTGTTTCAGAATGTTTGCAGAATGTGTCCTCTTCCCTCAAACTCGGGGTGTCCCAAACCACACTCACTTCCTCCATCCTGCTCCACTTGAGTTATCCAGCTTGACAGCCTTGCTGTCCATTCTGAGCCCTCTCTCTGCTCTGTGTCCTCTTCTACCTTCTCACCCCATTGCTCCAGGTTAGGCCTTCACCATGTCACACCTGTGCCTCTGAGCTGGTCTCCCCCGAGTCTCTCTTCCTCTGCTTTCCTTTTGTAATACACCTGTCACCAGGTTTTTCTTTGTAAATAACAATGGGGATCATGCCAGCCCCTTTCTTAAAAATCATCAGGGATTTTTAAGATACAAACAAAACTCATTCTTTCATTCAAAACATTTCATGATTTGAGGCCCACCTACTTTTTAACCTTTGAGCATATGAAGGCCTTTCATTCACCATGTCCTTCAGCCAAACAGAATCCCTTGCAGTGCTTTCTCCATCCATCTCTTGGTCCACACTTTTTCCTCAGCCTGGGACACCTATGCTGCTTCCCCCTTACTTGCTGTGTGACCTTGAGAAAATCCTTCACCCTTTCTGATTCCAGTTCTTTCTTCTGTTAAGCAGTGATAATAGTACTTACCTTCCAGGACTGAACCGTCAGAGCACATGGGAAGCAGCTGGCCCCAGGCTTGCCAGAGAAGGGATTGAATAGTGAGCTGTGTTTCCTCTTTTCCCCTTTTGGCCCTTCTCACATATCTTCCAGATCTCGCTGACTCCTTTTCCTCCATCTCAATAACCTCCCCTGGTTTGTCCCTGGCCAAAAGCCTTCCCTTTTCTCTCTCCAGAGCTCTTCTGGCACATTCTGTCACAGCCCTCTCCCCCTACCTGACTTTCTTCAGTTCAGAGAACACAGAATGATACCCCTAGGGTGTTGGCATGGGCTAGCTACTGACGGATCAGACCTTGTCCCTGACCTCTCAGGGGTCCAGATGACAGGATGAGAGCACGCAGTCTCTCCCTTCTGCTGGCTGGATGTCTTTCCAGCCCCAGTTCCTTCTGCCAAGGTCCCAGCCTTAGGCAGAGGACACTCACTCAGTGACTCAGGCCCAGGGACATGCAGAATGATTAACTGACAAACCCTTCACCCTCGTCTTTACTCCTCTGTCCTCATGGACCCAGCCCTCCCCTCAGCTCCTCTGTGTGGGTACTGTGGAAGAAGTGCCCTTTGTCCTTTACAGGTTGGGGAAGGGAGAAGCTTGACCCAGGCCCCAGGAGGCTGCTTCCATTTCTACCTGCCACTCCTGTTGTGTCTCAGCCTGGACCCTCAGTGCCTGTTGTTCTTGGCCAGTTCCCCTGCGTCTCCCATGCCCCGTTCCCTCCACTGCTCCACTGCTCCCTCCCTCACCCACTCATGCACTTCCATGTATACCTTTTCCCATTTGTTTCCCTGCTTTGATCCCGTTGCCCTTGAACTTTTCTGCTGAAACAAATAAAGCCTCAAATAATCACAGGAATAGAGTTGTTAGAGCTCATACAGATGGTGGTTTTCAAACTGAACCCTTGGAGAAGGTAAATCAGTGGTTTATCTTCTGGGGAAAGAGGACAGAGAAGGGCCTCTCAGAGAGCCGTGAGTACGGTGTGAGTCAGAGAGGGTGGGACACAGTCGAAGCTGTCGCCTCACTTCCCATTAGTCAGGAAGGCTCCATGAAGAAGGGGGAATTTTATCTATTGGGCTGGATATTCTTCCCTACCTAGACGCATCCCTGGCCTTTATCCTTGTCAAGACTGAGTTCCTGGACCCCTTCAGTTTCTCAGCCTGCCCCTGGTAGAGGGACGTAAGAGTGAACCATCTTACCTCCAAGGCCTTCTACCTAGCTTCCCTGCAGGTCCCAAACGGTCCCTCTTCCTCCCGGTCCATTGACAAATGTACCTTTCTTTTCCATATATTTCAGTCTGTGAGGTGTTCTCTTGAGCCAAAGGCTAATCTCCCCATGTGTACACTGAATCTCATTGTCTTCCACACAGCACATAAACACGCTCAAGCCTCTTCCCATTAAAAACCACCATTAGAATCAGTCTGGAGGTGAGAGCCAGGCATTGATATTTTAAAAGCTCCCCAGGTGACTCTAGTATGTAGCTAGGGCTGAAAAAGAGAAACAATTAAGCCCACACTTCTTACCAAGGCCCACAGGGCTCTTCATAACCAGCTCCTGCCGACATTTCCCCCTTACCTACATGCCCTCTGAGCTGCAGCCACACCAACTATGTAGGGCTCCCCACACCTGCCACACCTCTTATTTCTGTACCTTCACACACATGCTTCCCTCTGCCTGGAGAACATTTCCCTGCTTTCTAGAAAGTGTCCTTCAAAGCTCAGCTTTGGTATCATTTCTGTGACGTCTTCAAGAACTAACCCCCACCCTGGGGTAAGGTGCCCCACCCAGTGCTCTCATAACCCTCCCGCTTTATCTCTGTGGAATACTCACCACATGCTACTATAATTGTTAATTTATATGTCTGTCTCCTCCTCTAGACTGAGTGTTTTGCAGGGACCCCAGGGCCATGGAGATGCCATTTGGTAGGTCCTGGGTAAGTGGTCTTTATCAGATATTTGAAGATGCTTTCTCCCAGGACTAGGACAAGAACTGAAGGAAGTGAATCTTTGGGCACGTGCATTCATGTAGTCAGTGGGCCTTTACTGAGGGCCTGCTCTGGTCACTTACCAGTGTGGTCCAGGGAACTAACGGGTAGTTGAAGTTCCCTATCTCTACTATGTTTGACCTCTGGGACTGTTTCATCATTTATAGTAATCTGCTTTTTTTTGTCGCTAGTTGGACTTCATCCAAAAGTTTCAGAATAGTGCTCTCAGAACAGTGCTTTGCACACAGTGAACATTTAGGAAATACTTGTTAAATGGATGCTCATGAATCTATGTTACAAGTATATGCCTTCTTGCTTCCCCCCTTGTCTGTGAAATGTTGAGACGAAACATGCTGAGCACTCTACCTGGGTCATCTTTCATCTTCACAACAATCCTGTGAGACAGGTACTGTTGTTGTTCCCATTTTCTGGAGGTCAGCCATGTACATAAAGTCCTACAGGTACTAACCAGGAGATCTAAATTCAGGTCTTTGGAGTCAGGTGTGTCCCCAAAGCCACTTAAGTATACCTGGAACACATGAGGCTTTCAGTAAACATTTATTGACTCAACGGATACTGCCACCCCAAGGGAAGTAGGAAGGCTTTTGAATTCTTACTGTCTTCCGTGCTTGACTCTGGGTCCCTGGATCTCTCTTGTCTTTCTTACATTGTGTTATTCACTCAGCAAACATCGTGGAGGGTCAGGTGAGCCAGACATTGGGACAGATGCTAGAGACAGATGACTAAAACTGGGTCCTGCTGAGAGGAACTTATAGTTAGGAGAGGGGAGGAATACAGATAATTGCATTGCAGTAAGATTGTGGGAGCAAAGTGAGGGAGTGATTTGTTGCTTGGGAGAGCTGCTTGGTCTTTGTGTTGAGTTAGGGAACAAGGCTTGGTGGGTGGAGGGGAGGCTGATATCCTTGGGAAACAGTTCAAGCATAAGATGTGACCCAGGAGAGCAGCACAGGTAGAATGCGAGGCTGAGGGCCAGATCAGGTCGGCCTTAATGTACAGCGCTAAGAAGTTTGAGCCTTTTGAATGGTTGAATTCTTTGGCCTTTTCCCTTCTAGGGTAGGCACTAATAGTTTAGATCATGGCTGTACTTTGGTGCTGACCTCTTAACTCTAAGACTAAACTTCCACACCATTGACAAACACATTGCTTCTCCCAAACCACCACCCCTTCTGAATTCCACATGTACATCATATAATCCTGTAAGCATTTACTGGATCACTCTATGCAAAGCACTGTTCTAGGAGCTGCTGGAGATACAGATTTCATTTTGCTAAAACCTAGTCCTCACCAGTGAGTGTGTGCAACAGGGAGGGGAGAGTGCAGGAAGCCAGATAGACAGTGAAGTATACAGAGAGGGTCCAGCTGTCTCAGGGAAATCTCCAGCGTCTGCTCCTCCAATCCCATCAATTTCCAAACCTTCTTAGGTCGGGGTGCTCTCTTATCTGGTCTCCCTCCAGTACCCTCATCACACTGGCTGCCAGAATGAAGTGATTTGACCAGACAGTAAACCCCATGCAAGGACAGCATGTGCCTTGTTCATTGATGTGTCACCAGCAATCAACTCCATCTTGCACGTGGTAGGATGTTGATAAATATGTGAAGAGTATTAGATAATACAGGCCTGACTATAGCCTCCTGAAAACTCTTCACTGTTTCCCCTCTGCTTCCAAAATAAATCGAACTGCCCCATTTGGCGTTCAAGACCTCCTACCTTCAGCCACAGTTGACTTCACTTCCCGCTCCTTTCACTACCTGGAAGGCCAGTGTAGCTGGTGATTCACTAACTTCTGCTCCAGGCTACTTGTATTCTCTCACCTCCACTCCACAAAATCCTCCCAGCAACTCCTAATGCTAGTCTTATCCAAGTTTACAGGCTCGTAGGGAAGGCTTTCCTCCGCAACTGCTCCCTGGGGCTGAGACCTCTCAGCCTCACCTAGTCGGCGGCTCTCGCAGGCTGCCTCCAGCCCACCCCTCCCGTCCCACCCTCTAGAGAGGGAGCTCTTTGAGGGAAGGGCCGAGCCCTGGAACATTTCCCAGGTTCCTAGGCTGCGTGGGCCGGCCACCAACAGAAGCTGTATGGGTCGTGTTGGTGGATTAACCCCCGGAGGCCCAGAATGAGGCCATCCAGGGGCGGAACGTCAGGAAGACGCAGGGTGCAACTCTGGCGGGCGGAGGCCAGGCCGCGCAAGCTGACCAGGCGGGCTGCGATGCGGCGGGAAAGGGTGGGGAGCCTGGGCTGGGCATGCTTC